CAATCTCCTTGAAATTTCATCAATTTCTCACTTTCCTCTCTCTCTTAATTGAATTCTCTCTCTCTTTCTACAATTCTTTCTCCAGAATTTTTGACCTCAAATATGAACTTAACACCATCTCAACACATATATATAGCCTTGATTAACTTAGGCTAATTAAGCATGATTAAGATCAATCAGCCTCACTTATGTTTAATTAATTTAATTTAATTATTTTGATCAAAATCAATTTTTAATTAAACTTCACAGTAGACTTTAAAAATTACACTGATCACAATAAATTAATCAATTTCAGTTTCTGTTTTTGTTGCCTTTATGGCCCTCAATTTTAGATTATAGCAGAGATTGTGACAGATTTTTCTAATAGATAAGTATCCAAAAATCACATAGAATACATAATTAGCATTCAGATTCATATTAGGCATATAAACACATATAATTAATGAATTAAAAGCTTAATAAGGAACAGGGTTGTTAAATAGGTTTAGCATCACAACTGACCAATAATCTTAAGATTACCGAAGGCCTCTGAACAGACTAACAAATTAAGGGACTAGCGGAAGTAAATATCAAAATATAATTATGCATAAAGCTATGTAGACTTATATGGGACAAAAAAAAAATTTAAACTTATATTTACATATAACATGACGTTAGCCTTATACAAGAGAAACATAAACTTGTCCAAACAAAAGAAAATAAAACTTATTTGTTAACTAGGTCACAACATGTCCACAAAAACTTGATCACAAAAAGACTTCTGGAACCTCCTTGGGAGGCATTCAAGTTGGTTGACACAAACCAATCCAGACTGGAAGTCTTAAGCCTGGTCACGCGCCTGATCACCTATATACATAATATAAATAATGAACTAGAACCCAATGAATAACAACAGAGTAAAGGTTTTATGAATGATGTCCATAACAGATTCAGAAATCAAAATTCATATTAGAAACAGATTCATATACTTATTCAGACTTGTAAACAGTCATACGTGGTACATCTATTATAGCTAGCAGATCGGATTGGTCATAAAGACTCATATACATACTAGATGGCCATTAAGACCCATATTCACATGAGGTGGTCGTAAAAGACCCACTTGCAAATCATATAGTTGATTCTGCATAATCAGTTCCATGAATGGAACTCATTTGAAACCCTGGTACCAAATAACATATAACATATCACATGATGCTAAGGATGTCACGATACATTTCAAAAATAGGACAATCTTTCATCTATACAGAAAATATCATTTCAGAAAACAGAGCTTATCTTATCATTTCATTGAGAAAATAATTATAGTCAAACATAACTTTACAGAGTTGTTACTTACAGATAGCTCCAAAAACTGAATAGATAACTTACACAGATCAGACAGACGGTTACGCGTGACCTATACAGACACATAATAGATGCACATTGAAACACACGCTCCGAATACACTTAAGTTATTACATTTCTTTCTTAATGTGTTTTTAATTCATGTCCTTATTAATATGGCCTAAATCATGGCTTAAGAATGCCTAAGATGGAATGAGGATGCAATGATGTACTTTGAAACACTTTTCAAATTTTAAAAAACAAGGCAGTTCGCTCGAGCAAAGCTTTGGTCGCTCGAGCGGTCTGCAAAGTCTGCAAAAGTACTAGATGCTTTCAATCTACGCTTAAGCTAACTTTTGGTCGCTCGAGCCATGTATCTTGAAAATGTAGGTTCGCTCGAGTGAAGCTTTGGTCGCTCAAGCCAACTGCCTCGACTGCAAAAGTATTGAGAGCATGCAAAGTACGCTCGAGTGAAAAAAACATTGCTTAAGCGATGAAGCATAATTCTAGAATTTCTAGAATTCTGTTCTAAGCTTCAAACCTATTCTTTTGGGCCATAATTTGTAGAAAACACTTGGACACTTGAATAAAAATATGGAATAGAAATTAATTCATGAAATCAAGGCCCAAAAGCATGTCAATTCTTCATAATCAAGTTGAAACTTGTGTATACATACACATGCATGTAATGAATGGAAGTTCTTTCTTTCCAAAACTTAAATACATGAAGTGACAAGTATAAAACCATGTTGAACTCTCAACCTTAAGCACAAATAACACCGTGCATGTGAGAATTCTTAGAAAATAAACTCAGAACTTGATAAATCATGCATGTATGTATGACTTATCTCTTAATTCCATCATCTAAGTTAAATTCTCTTGTTTAATCACTTAAATCCTTTGAATTCATATACTTATTGTCTTGAATACAAAGTTTAAGAGCATAATTCTTACCTAAAGTCGAATTCAAGTGTGATTCTAGCTCAATTCACCAAATCATCTTCAAATCTCACCAATTCTTCTTCTTCCTCTTGATTTCATTCTCTCTCTCTCTCTCTCTCTCTCTCTCCTATGTTTGTCTTGATGTCAAAGATGATGAAGAACTGTGTAGAATGTTGTGGGATGAGCCTTATATAGGCTTAGTTAATATTAGATTAATTAAACTTGGTTAGACTTAATTAATTCCAATCAATTTATTCTAATTATTTAATTCCGAATCAATTTCTACTTAAACTTACCATAAAAGTCTAAAAATTCTAAATAACATGTTGACTAAGCCAATTTCATGTTCGGATGCCGATAAGGCCTTCATTTAACAGAACAAAACAGAATCCTGAACAGATATTTCTACGGCTAATAGATAGAAATTCAAACAACACGCAAATCACACAATTAACACATAATTTTACTTAACCGTTTGATTAGCATTCTTAATTATGGATTATGGGCTAATTACGGATCGGGGTTGTTGCAGTAAGGTTTCCCATATCTATAAGGATTTCGATTTCACGGTAGACCTTGACTCAAAAAAATCATAATTTCATGACAGAGCTAGGATTTGGAGAGAGGATATGGCGATGGATTTAGATGGAGGTTAGGAGGAGGACGACAGAGTTAAAGGTTAAAACGAGGACGAAGATATCACGCTAGTGGTGGTGAAGTAACGGAGCTCTGATGATAGCGGACGATAGTGATCAGTGCCAACAGAGAGCACAAAGAGAGAGAGATAGAGTGTGTGTATGTGTGTGTGATTGTGTGATGGTATTAGGATCATGTATAACTATATATATGGGGATATTTTGGTAATTTTGTCTACGCTTGTCTTTTGGACAAAGTATTTTAACGCCTGAACCTTTAGTCAAACAAAATTGAGATTTGAATTTATGGACCGAGTGCCCTAAAAAATATATATATATACATATATACACATTGAAGTATAAAAGAAAAGATAAATAATTTTTTGGGATGCTCACGGACCCAGTCAATCTACCAAAACCGACTAACTCGACCCAACCTACCTGCTTTTAGGCGGTTCTAATAGTATGGGCGGATAGATGCAAATGAAGATTTCTCAAATTCGTTTAAGTTCGAACAGATAGCGGATGAGAAGCGATCCAACCTAATCCGGTTAGCTAACCCCCCTAAGAAAATGTTGTTATACTTTTATGCTTTGTATGTTAAGCAAAAAAAAAAAAAAAAAAACTCTAAAATAGTTTGAAAAAAGACAAAAAATAATAAAGTTCAAACTTGGGGGATGAGTACGTAATAATGAAGGGATATTTAGTGGAGATTTCGGAGCTGAAAGGAAGGGTGGTGGCTAAAGGGAAAATGCGGCAGTGTCAGCGGCGATGGAGGAGGGTGGATGAAGACATAGCTAGGGCAAGATGAACAGAGAAGCAGCAGAGGGTTTGGAGATTGAGAGAAGAGAGAATGATAGAGTAGGTGTGATATATGGGTGTGGATGAGGGATCTTAGGTTATAAAAAGAAAAAATATTTTGGACTTCTCCCGTTACTAAAAGTTAGAGAGGGATGTTAGACTAAATATTCCTTAATTTAATTTGTTTTGAACTTACTAAAAGAGAAGTAAATAATTCATGTACAAGTCTCAAATTCCAAATGTAAACAAACAAATTTAAATGGAAGAGCATTTGCTTCTTCTTCTACCATGCACTACACATCCATTTCCATTCTTTTATCCTCACCACCTTTTTCACCCTAAAATTGAAAAGAAAACAATTTTATGCCGAACCAGTGTAGCCTGGGAGGCTTGGAAAGCTATTTCAAGACCCATGATAGTTCTACACGCTTTTTTGTCGAACAAGTGCATTAGATGCTCAAGAAAGCGTATAACGTATTTTGACATTTGGTTTGGATGGTTATTAAAGGACTTTGCTAAATTTGTGGAACAGGCATGTGGGAGGCGTTCGGGTGGGTGTTTGCGTGTTTTTGTCAAACTTGTGGATCAAGCGCAAGGGAGGCTAAGGAGGCGTCACAAACTCTATTTCTTAATAATTGGACTTTGAATGTCTTAATTTGTTTGTAATGAGGGAGGTTCTATTATTAACTGATTACTTTAGTTGAAGAAGGCGGCACCAACTATGTTTTTTTATAATTGGAATTTGAATGACTTAGCGTATATGAGGGATTTATTTATTTAATATTTGGATTTTAATTGTCTTATAACTTGTTTGTAACGAGGGAGGTTCTATTATCAGATGATTACTTAGGTGATTCCTAAGTTTAGGGTTGTTTGTCGGGTATTCGATGTCAAAGCGTTAGTATCTATGTATTTTCTTCTCTCTTATAAAATGCTTACTTTCCCCAAACAATAAATAAATACATAAACACAAATACAAAGAAGAATTGCAAATTTTCATGTATGTAATTTATCACAACTATACAATGAAAAAAAAACTTCAATTCCTTGGTTTAGTTGACAATGAAGGGGAAAAAATTACTGTTTCACAATCCGTAGACTGTGTACAAGTGGTGCTCCTCACTAGAGATCCTCATTGGTGGTCTTCTCTCTAATGAGCCAGCTTTCCTCTTTAGTTTCGTTCTCCACGTTAGTTTCCTCCGGCATAGCATCAGAAAAGCTGCTTGCTCTTCCTTTCCTTTACCACTGCACAGCAGACATCAGGCCACTGCAATGCCAACCACATTCCTGTTTTTGCTCCGTCCACATCCTTCAACATATGTGATTAGTTCATGACACTATCGCCTTCCAACATTCGGAGCACCTATTGGCAAATTCGTAAACAAAGAACTAAGAGAAGGAAATGATCAAGAACTGGTCTTCAGTGCTTTAACAGAAACTTTAAAATGCATATTTCAAGGACCGGTATGCACTGTCAATTCCATAGGTTCCATTTTTTAGATCAGTCAGATAAGTTCTAATACTGATTCGAGTGAAAAGGATGATAATCTTGATAGATAAAATAAATTAATAATCTATTTAAACAGCTTAGATTAGGCGTGCTTATAAAAATTTGAAGTATCTGATGAACTTCTTCTTCCAAGGAATACCACAATGGACACCGAATGATCTACAGACAACAGACTTCTACTACAATAATGTGTTCTTTTGAACCTATCAAATCTTTTCTCGCAAAGAAATATGTAGCTCTATTCAAAATATGACCTTACGCACAATTGCAAGATTTTGCAAATAATGTGTTTGAAAATTGCTGTGTCAGCGTGTTCACGTCATCACATGTCCGTGACCATATCCATGCCCATGCTTTTTAAGCTAAAGTAAAATGAAATATTATCAGTAATGCCATCAATTAAGCAGTACAACAAATGGGTAATATGATCAAGAAGCAGTGTGCATATTCAAATATAGGGACCGTCAAACATGCTTCTTCCCAGACACACCCTTTAGGTCCATACCTACATAGCCAAATTCAAGTCTGAGAGGTGCCTAATCATACCTCAGATGACACTTTTGCAAATTACATGCAAAAACATGTCAAATTCGCGAATTCACAGTGAATTCTGTTTTAAGTCAATCATTAGCTGCCACATAATAGGGTTCATGGTAAGCCCATCTCACCCTAACACAGTCCTGATGCCCAATGGATGAAATCTGGAAGAAAAAATCATTGCACACGTGGATTGAACTCGAGAAGTGTACCAAATAACATGCTTTTCTGCGCTCTCTATGAATAGTTTACTTAGGTCCATACAATCACACTGATATGGTTCCTTCAAATGATGCAATGCTAAGTTGTGAAGAAACATTGCTTCATCATAAATGCTTCACAGCAACATAGTTTTGGAGTATATAATGGTAACAAGCTATGAGGTGTAAAGTAGGCAAGCATACTTATAAACACTCCAATACAAGTGAGATGATGTGCAAAGCATATCCATCCACTCAACCCCATCTATATCTTCTCAATGATTTGGGGATTTCTAGCAAAATTATTTGTTCTGTTGTATCATGTAAATAAGGAACTTAAGAAAGTAAGTACGAGTTTCCTAACCTGAGACATGCGAGGCCTTAAATGAGGGTCCCGCCTGATGCACAAGGAAGCACAGTGCAGCATAGAATGAACCTCTTGTTCTGAGTAGCAGTTCCTCAAGCAAGGATCAATCAATTCATCAACGGCATTTTTTTCCAACAAAGGGCGTGCCTGTTCCATACAAAACATGAGCAACAACCAAGGGTAAAACTTCAGTATTTAGTTTTGTTTTGATAAAAAAATCACAAATGCTTGCAAATTACACACTTGCATCATACAATCACCATGAAAAGAAAAGATAGGCTGGAAGACAAGTCATTGCCCATGTAAAAAGTCAGATATTTTCTTACCCTCCGTTTATTTCGATGGAAAATATTTTCGAAAAAAAAAATTTCTGCATTTTCTGGAGTTTGGTGCATTGGAAAATGAAAATGAACAAAAAACGTTTTCGAAAATGCTAGAGATCTCAAAAGTTTTACCAAATTTTTTACAAACTATCTCACATGACATGGGACCCATATGGTATGGGTCCCACACCCATATAAGACATTTGGTAAAAATTTTGTAGAACTTTTGGGGCCTCTAGCATTACTCAAACGTTTTTTGTGGTCAACAAAAAGTTTTCCAAACTAAAGTTTTGCTAATGCCACCACATCACCACCACTGCAGTCACCATAGCCACCACTCCACCACCACCTTCATCACCACTATTAATACATCCTGTGAAGCACCAACACTTCAAAACAAGTACCGTATCCATGTTGGACACACGGATACTTTGGGGACACGTATGGGACACATCACATGGTGTGTCTCATTATTTAATTTATTTATTTTCAGGTAACACGTCGGGGACGCTTCGGGGACACACTAGGGACATTCCAAGTTGTCTTTTCTTCCATTTTATTTAGTACTTTTGATGAATATTGAATGTTGAATGTTTATTATTTTTTTTTAAGATTTAAATACTTAATAGATCATTTATAGAAAAAGATATGAACTCTGTGTTTATTTAAAAGTGCTTTTTTTTTAAAAAAAAAAATAATAAAAAATTAGAGCTAGTTTTTGTTAATATTGATTGTTTGTAGATGTAATATTAATCTAGATAGTAAATAAAAATATATGAAAACATATTTTATTGCCGTGTCCCGCCGTGTCCGTATCCCCATTTTTTTGAAATCGTTGTGTCCCGTGTCCACATCCATGTCCATGTCTGCAGCCGTATCCATATCTGTATCCGTGCTTCTTAGAATACATCTATTAGCACATTAGTTTAAAGGTCATAACTAAACATAGGAAAAAAATTATACGGAAATTCCGCCAAAACAAACAAAGCATTATAGTACATAATTGGGGAAACCCCACCTCAATAAATAATGTCAACCATAGAGAAACTGGGGTTTGGTGACCCATACCCATTCAGTTAGGCACTGCTGGCCCTTGGGCCGACTCACGTCAACAGCTTTCCGTCCAGTGACAAGCTCCACCAACACTACTCCGAAGGAATAGACATCAGCTTTTTCAGTGATTTGGCCACTTTGAGTATATTCTGGAGCCAAGTACCTACACAATTGTGGAACAAATGATTTAACTTGCATTACTTGCAGATGGTCTACAATCGGGAAGCAGAAAGCAATAATTTAGGTTTACCCAAATGTTCCAATTATTCTTGTTTCCACACCCAAGTCTCCATCTGGCTGCCACCTTGCTAGCCCAAAATCTCCAACCTACAAATTAAAAACAGTAACAGTAGAATTAACAATATTAATGAGGGAAGAGAAAGGCAGATTCATAGTTCTCACATGCCAGCACTAATAAACAAGGAAAATACTTGTTTCATCTTTCATGCACTTTCAGAATCTTTATCTCTTAGTGGATGTTAATTGATCCATTAGGTTGAATTGCATGGCCTAACTTGGGAACAATAGTCCTTAGGCCGCATGATGGAATTCTCACTTTTGATTCTCCAACAAATATCCACAAATGCCATTCACCTACAACAACACACACATGCACACATACACAGAAGCATAGAAAGCTATGATGCCTGAAATTTTTTGTAGATCAATATTCTCCTGCATTTGGGACGAATTCCCTGAAAATAGTGTGGTTGAATGGCTCGTACTTAGGGATTTTATGTCCCATCTAGTAGTTACTAGAACATTTCAACTATCTGTTGGACATATGAACTTAACTATGGATGTTTCCATGAACAGTAAGCAATTTCAGATGATGGGAAACTAAGAATGGAATCCATCTGTAAGAGTTTACTTTCAACCAAATTATTGGTTTTCAAATCAAGCGTTTATCTTTATTTTCAGTGAATTGACTTAGGCAACAATGTAAATGTCAAACTGCTAAAAGGCCATAGAATGTTACAGAGGAAATGAAGAGAGAATGACGTACCAATGGCTCAAAATCATGAGTGAGAAGGATATTGTTTGGGCGCATATCACGGTGCACAATACAACCCACTCTACATTCTTCATGAAGGTATCTCAACCCTCGAGCAGCTCCAACTGCAATCTTTTGTCGTGCAGACCATTCCAGTGGCTCCTGACTATGTCCTGAAATCCAGAACTCCATGAAAATTTACCAACAGAATAGATTGCATCAATAACTTACTTAGAACCGGTAATGCACTCTCTATTTCCTAGAGAGGTTACACAGCTCCTCATCAAGTTTTGACATGAAGATGCTCCATGGAAGTTCTCTAGTGCTATGTTTCTCAGAATGGAATAGCAATTCATTAATTTCTTAACAATAAGTGGATGAGATAATGATATGATATATGACAAACTTTTTTTTTTCCCCTTAAAGTTCGAAAGAGAACATAAAGTCTATGACTATGAAGTACAGACTCTTCCAAAAAGGTGCATGCCTGACGTGTCTAATACCGACTCCATCGGACACTTCCCCACATTTGTTAGACACACATCCAAATGTGTCATAATATATATATATATATATCCAAACACGATTCGGACACTTGAGGGACACATATGTCTAACACTCAGACACACAAGAAACAAATTATAAGTTTGAACAAAAAAAACTTAGAATACAACAATAAAAGAAAAACAATATATATTTATATCTATTAGTCCCTCTTCTTTTGAACTTTATAAATTAGTGTTATGTGGTATTTGTATTATCTTTAAAAGAAATATTCATATATAAGACATATAATAAATATATCAAATCATCAATTTTGTGTGTTGCCCACATGTCGTGTCTCACATTTTCTAAAATTCTATGAAGCACGAATACTTCAAATAGGAAGACGTATCCATATCGTATCCATATCGGATACCGATACTTACGGATACATATCAGATACTTATTAAAAGTATCGGATACTTCTTAATTAATTTTTCATTAATTTTGAAGTATCGGATACCTAGTTTTGAAGTATCGGATGCTCAAAGCCACATATTATCGGATACTTCATAATTAATTTTGAAGTATCAAATGCTCCAACTCACATCATAATATAATATAATTGCAATGACAAATAGAATATTTTTACAATACTTTGCTTAATTTTTTTTATAAAAATAACATAGTAAGCTAAAGTAATAGAATTCATCAAATTAACATATCTTCATTGTATCATGCATATCCCCTACAACTACATAGAATTAAGGATTAATAAGATAATACAACAATAGTAAAATTAAATATCAATAAATAAATAAGCAAATAAACTTGTATAGAATATTTTTGACTAGTGCAAAAGGAAAAAGCATAGGGTCAAGTTGCGAATTGTTTTGATATTATAATATCAACATATTAAACTTGATATTGAAATGAAATATTTGCAAGACCTATTGAAAATTTAAAAACTAAACTAGCTACTGGCTTAAATTAATACCTAATTCTTCAAAATTAGTATTTTGCATTATAAAGTTACTGTGGTTTCTCAACATTCTTGAGTTTATGCGTAACTCACTGCTAATAATTTTTTTATTTTTTATTTTTTACAAACGTATCCTAACCGTACCCGTATCCTACTTTTTTAGGTTTTGCTATATTGCCGTATCCATATTGTATCGTATCCGTATCACGTATCCATATCCGTGCTTTCTAGCTAAACTTTGACATGTCAGCATGTTCGTGTCATGTCTGTATCCGTGCTTCTTAGGTCAATGACCTCATAGAACATTTTATCATGGAACTTAAAGCAGTTTGAATTTTAAAATAAAGTGTATATCAATGCCATTGACAAAATTACTATAAACCACAATTAAAGTCGCAATAGAAACAGTAACAAATAGAGAGGCAACCCAAACTGGATAGTGATGCTTATAAATCACTGCCGTTATTGAGCATTCCAAATTATTGCAGCAGTAGACTACAAAACAGATGGGGATATAAAGGAATTACCATAAAGGTGAGAATCCAAAGACCCATTGCAAATATATTCATAAACAAGCAACCTTCTTTTATCCTCAACACAGAATCCAATCAACATGACAACATTCCGGTGCTGTGCACAACTTAGGACCTCCACTTCCGAGCAAAATTCAAGATCACCCTGAGAACTAGCCAATTTATATTGCTTGACAGCAATAACCTGCCCATCCGATAAGACCCCTCGGTGTACAGAACCAAATCCACCTTCTGCCAAGAAATTAGCTTGTGAGAATCCCCTTGTGGCATGTTCAAGTTCAGCATAGCTGAACCACTTTGGAGGTTTTCCGAATACAGGTGCTTTGTGCTGACATATTGAACACAATGGGGGTGGTTCGGGAGGTGCATTTCTTGATAATGATATCACTTCTCTCACATTTTGGTTCAAGTCCAAATCAAACCTATGATTCAGCATTCCTATTTCATGTTCTCGATCAAGCTCAGAGAACTTCCCCATCAAGGCATCAGACATGGAAGTCATAGATTTGACATTCGATCTTTGTGAACCTTCCACCAAATGCTTTGAAAATTCACTAGCAGAGCTGAGAATATCTGCCATCCAAGATCGGGAATAAAAACTTGTTGAAGGGGAAGGGGAACTCAACTCTTCACTCTCAGTGTCGGAATCAGACTCATCAAGATTATGATTTCCTTCATTAAATACCAAACTGTCTCTCTTTAGATCCCAATTGATTTCAGAGAGGATAAAAGGAGAGGCCGCTAGATCTAAACTTGACAGTGATGACGCCCCGGCATCAGTGGTAGTGAATGATGTATGCTCCGGACTGCTTGCTGGAGTCACATTTGGCACCCGGATCACATTCCACAGGTCATACTTGTTTTTTAGATGTTCCGCAGATGCTGCTGACATGGATGATGGTGGGCAGGCCACTTCAGATTCCGTCTTAGGCGATCCAACCAAATTCAATCGGAGCACTTTTGGTCCAGACCGTTTCATCACCACAACATTGCATTCCAGCTGTTCCATGCAGGGTTTTGCCTCTTTTCTCAGCCGTCTGTCCAACATTGCAAGTATAATTAACTGAAAACATTAATGTGGATGGAAACCAAATCCTAAGCCAAAAAGTATACATAGACAAAAAAATTTAACAAAAACAAAACAATTAGGGTTAATTACATTAATGGTCCCTTTTTGTTACACTTTGATTCCAAATCTTATCATTGTTTTACCCTGGTCCCAAAGTATGCAACCTGTAACACTTCAGTCCCTGATGTCAGCGCCATTCAAAATCAGCAATGGGAGGAGGGGTTTTTGAAACTTTACAAGACGCTTCAACAAAATCAAAATGACCAAATGCATACATGGTCTCAAAATATGACCAAAGTCTGCACTTTCTTGCATTTTAGTTCGTAATCTTTTAATTTTGTTGCCTTTTGTGTGTGTGTGTGTGTAATTGTAAAATTAGCTCACCTCTCATTATTGATTTTGAACAGTGCTAATGTTATAGACTAAAGTGTAACAAAGTGGAACAATTAAAAGAATGGGGACTAAAGTGTACAAAAAGCATACTGTGGGAACCATTTGTGTAATTAACCCAAACAACTATGTAGAATTAAAAGCCAATATCTAAGCAACGGGATTCATACTATAATCATTACTTATCCAATACGACCCAGCTTGTATGAGCTCTCTTGGCTTCCGATGCCACTACTCCACAAGGTGAGCCAGAAACGACTTTTACCTTGACCTTTGTCTGTGAAGAAGTAAAAGGTGGGAATACTTATATTAGACGTAGAACAAGGATGGACTAAAATCTACATAAAAATATATGTACTTACCTTATCTGCATCATAAACATCATTGAGTTGAAGCATCATTTGGGAGCACAAATCCGTAATATAGTCTTTCTGATCTGAAATAGTTCCGGAGAGATATTTCCAGTGACCAGCAGCGCAATCACTGGTGAACCTTGAAAAACCCCATAACTTTTTCTCTGAAAATGCAAATTGTTTGTAATTTTCATCAACATTAAATGCTCCATAGTCGTAAAAAATTAAGAACTACAGTGGGTCATAGAATTTCGGATCAAATGCACACATTCATTCAACTTCATACTTGATTCTATTTGGGCAAGAATCCTCTTTTGGTTAGTTCATGATAACAAAATAGACAAAACTGTATTGCATGTGTATATCAAATAAACATGCTAAGACATTTCGAATTCATCTTGATCATGGGTATCTTGATTTTCAGCTTTTGACAATGATATGCTGCAGCACAATGTGTTAACAAACTCAATAATCCTGGTGATGATACGTTAGAATTGTTAGCTTGATATACATTGTTGGGCCCATTACTAACAGTTTAAGATTTTGGGACTATTGGCTGATTTAACATGGTATTCTTATCGCCCCTGTTATCTCCATCATTATACATTGTGTTTTATTTGTCTTTATGCACCTTGTTTCTTTGTCTGTTTGTCTCTTCACATGTGCAAGAGGAGATCGCACGTGAGGAAGAGTGTTAGATTGATATACATTGTTGACCCCATTTTCTAACAACTTAAACTTTTAGGACAAGTAGTGATCTAACAAGTATATTCCATGGATACATTTGCACACTTCAAATTCAACTTGGTATATTTTGAAATCATTCATGTTCTATTCCAACAAATAAATAAGTACAACTAAACTCAATTTCCAAAGTCAGAGGTAGAATACTAATGATCTTATGTATATCATAAAATCAATCTAACAAGAAATAATCAATCAATTACCGAACAAATCAGACATGAACTAACCACCTTTCCTGTTTCATGAGGCACTATTACTAATTTGTAGCAGACTTATAACATCTTTTCAAGTAAAATTAAAATGCTCATGCTAGCAATACACCATACACTGAACTTTTGAAGAGCCAATTACTACTAAGCACAAGGCAAATTGATATTGTCTCATCAAATTCAAAAGCAAAATTGATATTGTATATATATGTATACAGTTTCATATATACATGTGTACATATGGGAAGAAATGTTACTTGAACTGTGAGCAGGGATGACAACCAGCAGCTTAACGCAATCACCGGGTTGAACAACATGAGTTAAAGCCCAAACCAAAGCAGTTCTTGTGACTTCTCTAGATGCTTTAACAGCAACAATCACAACTTTCTCAACCACATTCGAACCCTTCTCTTTACAACTGTTTTCCTGCATACTCATCTCACCTCAACAGAAACTAAAACCCTCACAAACTTGTTCAGCAAACCCGATTCTTCAAACCCACATTACAGCAACTTCAACGTTCGAAACCCAACTAAAGAGTGACTTAAACTACAGATGAACACAGAGTTACAATCACCAACCTACTTCAAAATGCTCATTAACTGATTGTGAAAGAACTCACTCACCTCAAAAGAAACTGAAACCCTCACCAATTTGTTCAGTACACCCAATTCTTCAAACCCATCACCACATCAAATTTCAAAACCCAGATAGGTTTACTTCACATATGGTTACAATCATTGATCAACTTCAAAATGCTCATTAACTGAATGTGAAAGAACCCTCTCTCTCTCTCTCTCTCTAACAAAAATCTTGAAACAAAAGAACTCTCTCACCTTAAAAGAAACTGAAACCCTCACCAAATTGTTCAGTACACCTAATTCATCAAACCCAGCTCACAGCAACGCCATATTTCAAAACCCACCTAGAGAGTAAGAGTTTCTTCTAATTGGGTCTTAAAATCACCAACTGATCACACAATTACAATCACTGACCAACCCCAAAATCCTCACTAACTAAATTTGAAAAAAAAACCCCCTCTCTCTCTCTCTCTCTCACACACACACACACACACACATACACACAAATCTTGAAACAAAAGCGGAATGGTCATGAGAAATGCATGACAGAGAAGACAGAGAGGAAGGGATCAAATTGAGCAAAAAGGGTATCAGAAACAGACAAAAAAGATGGGAGAAAAAAAACCTGCAGGCTGTTATGTTGGGTACCCATCATTTTCTCATTGTGGGTTTTGAATAATTGAGATGTATAGATACACATACACATATAGATACAAGGATAAGAGTCAAAAAGCAGATTATTGACAATCAAGAAACAGAGGTGAAAGAAAGCGAAAGGTAAACAAAGATGGAAGCAGAAGGGCTTGGGTCCACCGGGTACATGCGGTTCAAGTAAAGGATACCTATGAGACCAAAAATAGTGATGGAAGCTTTCTCCCTCTAGCTCTGTCACTTTCTCTCTCTTAGTCATAGTGATGCACATTTAATAGACCTCACTCCAAGAATAACTACCAGCTCTTGTTGGTTGAGGGCTGATTTGAGAAAGTATCTAATAATTGGGGCCTGCTATTAGGAAAATAAGCTGTAGCTCGAAAATCTTGGCTTGAAATTAGTTCGAATGTCATTTTGGATGTGTTTATGTGGCCTGAGAATGAGAAAAAAGATGGAGAGAACAGAGGAAGAAGAGAGGAAAAGAAAAAGAGGAGGGGAAGAGGTAATGGAGAGAAGAGAGGCCCCTCCGCTTCTGTCGTCGGCCGAGCCCCTCCGCGTCGTCGCAGTACCAGCAATCGTCGCAGCACCACCGTCGTCGCCTCCGGTCCCGCTGAGCCCCTCCCCTTCGTCGCAGCACCACTACCGTCGGCCGAGCCCCTCCCCTTCCTCCTTCCTCCTCCTTCTCCGCTTCTGAAATTAGATTCGAGCCAATTTCAAGCTCGACAATTCAAGCTACGTAGCAGTTCCACTGCTATTATTCTCATATTTTCTTTTTGGGTCCTTTTTTTTTTCACTTAAATATTTTGATTTTTTTTTACCTTATAAATAATCACTTTAATTTCAACTCTACTCTTGTACTTAATTTTTCAAACCTCATCATTTTTAACCAACCATTGCTCTCTTTTTCACCACTCGTTGCGCCTTTTCTTACTATTATTTTGTATTTGTGTGTGTTTATAAAAGATGTCAAAGGAGTATAACATGGACGGGTTGTAATGTGTTATTAATATCTTGTATCGCAATGAAGTGAGATAAATCAAGAGTGAATAATTTTTTTAACTTTAAGAATTGAACATACTAATAAAAATGAGACATTATGGATAATAATATATAAATGACAAAAATTAAATATGTAAGTTGTGAAATAAATAAGTAAACATAAATATTAAATATTCATACAATACAATAGACATAAATATATATATATATATATATAATAAATATAATTAAAACATGAATAAATAGCAAAAACTCATCACCGTCCTACTTTCATTTATGGGTCTCTGATTATATGAGTGTAAATATGGGTGTCTCTTTATTTGTATATATGATATATTCTTAGCTTGAGTCCCCCATTTGAATAATTTAAGAATTTTCATTTTTGCTTAATTTACTGGATTTCCTTTGATGGGGTTTATGTTGGCAAGTGGTATTTGTTTTATTGATGCTTGAATCCACTTGCCTAGTTGCTCTCATCCATATGCATTTTATTGTGCCCACCAAGGAAATGTTTCGATATGAGCTTCTAGGATGGTATAGTAACTCCATGTGGTCTCGTGCCAATTCCCATTAAGATGTGATTATTTTATCAAAAAGATGGTGAGGGTTAGAGTGGCTGGCAGGGGAGGGTGAGAAGGGATTGTCGGTGGAGATGGTAGTGGTAATTGGTTGCGAAGGAGATTGTGATTGAAACAGTGTAAGATTTATGTTTGGATGGAGTGATTTGGAAAGAAAAGAAAAGAAATGGAGTAATATGTATTTCTCTTATTTATTTGGACAATCTAAGTACAGAGAAATGGAAAGAAATGGAGGGAAACTCATTTCTCTTATAATATTCATTTTCAATATTCCCAAAAATGAAGAAATTGGGAGAGAAAAGAAACCATCATTTTCATAATACCAATTTTGTCTTAATAAAAATAAAAGAAATATAATGATTGAAAATATAAAAAGGTTATTTTAATAATATAACATAAAATAATTTTTTTTTTCTTTTCTCTTAATGAAATCTAACCAAACAAGAATGAAAGAAATTATAATCATTTTTTTTCTTTTATTTCTTCCTTATCCAAATAAAAAGGAGAGAAATCACAATCATTTCTTTTCTCTTATTACTTAAGTAATCATTTCTTTTCTTTTCTCTCTTAGGTTTCCAAACATAGTGTAAAATTAGGCTTAAGATTGGAGTTGAAAGACTAGGAACACAGTATGGTTAAAATTCTATAGGTAAATGACATTCATCTCTGTTGAGATTTGAAATATATATATATATATATATATAATTAACCTTACAAGTTAGTATAATTATATATATATATATATATATTTTTAGTAAGGTTAAAACAATTAAAATTAATGTAGATGATGAGTCGACGTGTGGGAAGAAGCTTAGCACACCTCCCAACAGTGCCGGATTGCTCTAACAAAGGTTGTGTGGCCTAAAAAAACACTCAAAAAAGAATTCTGATAAGTGGTTAGTCAAGAGACTCTCTGATACCTAAGTATGAGAATAAACACAAAAAATATATATATAGCTTAAGTGTCCGTTGTTGTATAACTTATGGGTGTAGTGTGGCTTGCTTATATAGGCTAAAATTATGACCGTTTAAGTAGTTAAGAGATTCCTGACACTCTTCTTTACTGTTCCGCTTTACATAGGATCATGTCTCATGTTTACAGATTTATAAGAGTGGATAAGTTCACATTCAATGAAACATGTGTTGACTTGATTTAGTTATTCATATTGTGTAATTTGACCCCGTAGTTAACTTGGTGTCTGAATTGACTTAATGATATTTTGAAAAGTTGATAAAAAGCCAACTTTTTAACTTTTTTTAATAACGATTTTGATTAAAAAGTTAAAAAATTCAAAAAATTGATTTTTTTAACTTCTTCTCAAAGTGCCCCTTATAGTCCTATTGCCTCTCCTCTCCCCTCCCTGCCAAGGTATCCTAGCTAGGCCAAAATCTCTCTCTGTCCTAGTTCGGTCTTGCTATGTCTAGTTTGATGATGTGCGACTTGCAACTTGAATGTTACCTCTCATAATAAACAATAAAATAAATAAAGATAAATTGAATTCCTCCTCCCTTTAGTTCAATTTCAACAGTCCCATCAATGAACACCTCTTTATTGGAGGTGAGACTATGTTGTGACAACATTGAACGTCTCAATTCCATGAAAATCCAACTAAATTAAAAATACAAAAAAATATAAAAATATATATAAAAAAAGAAGAAGCAAAGACTACGATTGCACTAGTTACCTAGCCTCAACTCGGGTTTTTAAACTTTATATATATTTATTTATCTTAGTACATTTTCAATTACACAATTACACAATTACATCTTGAGATTTTTGTATTTTAATTTTAATTTGAGTTTCTTTAATATTGACCCTCTCAATTTAAAAGAACATTTGAAATGGTTGAAACTTGGCCATTTTACTAAATTATGTTTTTAACCTGATAGTAGTTCAAGTAGTCTTGAAAAAAGAGTGTGAAGTCTTACTCTCAAGTCTATAGAGAGACAACAACATGTATTATAATCTAATTATTAACTTGTTAACATTTTGGCAAATCTTAAAAAATTCAAAAAGTCAAAAAGTCACTATCCTATTTAAATCACATCATCTTATTTAAGTCACATGACCTCTCTAACACATCACTTCAAATCCAACCCATATTTTATAAAAAGTCAAAAAGTGCACTTATTTAGTTTTCCCAAACTTGACCATCTTGTGGCACAAAAAGAACGGAAAAAAAATCATGTCAGGGAATCTAGTTATTCAATGCTTACTAGCCACATTCACTTGGCAGTGCCACAAACTCATTTTCACCTTTGATTTACTTAGGACCCCATGATGTATTTGTAATGTTATCACATGTAGCCTAAATAATTTTTTGTCCTTGTAATTTTCAATAGCAAGTGGAAATTAAAACTGTATTTGAATGTTGTATATGAGGAAGAATTTCTAGAGGGAATTTTTTTTTTTTTTGCAATAAAATAGTCTCTCTTTTTATTCTATAATTTTGAGCAAATTACACTCTTTGTATATTCTATTAAATCTCACCTTGTTGTTTAACATTGTCTCAGACAACTAGCTATACTTCGAGTTAAGTTACAATTGAAGCCAATCGAATAATGTGGTTTTAAAAATTAGTAGAGAAACTAAAGTGTATGAATTAAATGAGATTTTTATAAAAATATATGACTGCCAAAAACTAAAGTAAAAATTTTGATAAAAATGCTAAATATAATTAATATTATCAAGTGATTTCTTCTCCATTAACTTTTGAAATGACATTATACAAATAAATCAAATTACTACTTAACTCAAACTTTAATGCTGTGTTTAATTAGGAGATTTGAGAAGAAATTTAAAAAAATAAAGAGAAAATATAGGTGAAATATAAATAAAATATATTTATATTTTACCTAATTTCACACATTTTTTTTATTTTTTTTTTCGAATTCTTTTTTAAATTCTTCAACTAAACACAATATAAGAATTGACTAAAATAATTAAAAAAATTAAGCAACAAAGTTCAATTAAATGTGAAACATGTGACAATTACCATTATGAGGGACCCTTGTTCAGATGTCCCAAAAACAATGAAAGAAATTTGGGTTTCTGAGATTTTGGATGTTCTTTTTTGGTTATCTCTGAATTACGATACAAGTTAATAAAAATTTCATTTCATTTTTTTTGTTTTGTTTATTCGTTGCCTATTTTATCTTTATAAAAAATTATGTTAATCGAACATAAATAATTATTTGATCAAATAACATTTATATAAATATTAATTTATTTTTAAAATCATAATTACTTAGGTTCCGTTTGATTAGGAAGAAAATTTAGTAGAAAGTGAAAGTAAAAGAAAATGAGGTGAAAGAAAAGAAATAGAAAAGAAAATATATTTCTTTCAAACATTTAATTAAGATGAAAATTTTGTAAAAAAATATAGAAAAATTTAAAAATTTAGTTATGAATAACTCACCCATTTTATTTTTCTTATATTTTTTTGTATTTTTTGCAAGAAATATTCCTCCACTTTCAGATAATTTTCTTATATATTTCACCACTTTCAAGCTAAACAAATTCATAGAAGTTTTTTTTTTTTTTTTTTTTTTTTTTTTTTTTTTTTTTTTTTTTCTTTTTTTTTAATAAAATATGGGGGCTCCACCAAGATGAGTTGGTCAATGCCAACTCATTCATGAACCATTTCCTGATAAACATTTCCTGACCTGCATTAACACTATGTTTGGATTGAGTGATTTGGAGAGAAAAGAAAAGAAATTGAGAGATATGTATAGGGCTGCAAATGAACAGAGCTGTTCGTGAATAGGCTTGAGCTCGGCTCGGTAAGAGCTCGTTCGAACTCGGTTCATTAATTTTTTTTTACGTTCGAGCTCGAGCTCGTTAAATTTTTAATAAACAAATCCAAACATTCTAAAGTTCAACTTGTTAGTTAGTTCGTTTAATATTTATTATTTATATATTAAATAATATAAAAATATGTATAAAATTGATTCGATAAGAACTCATTCATACTCGGTTTATTAATCCTTTTTTTTTTGTGCGTTCGAGCTCATTAAAATCTTAATAAATAAGCCCAAACATACTAAAACTTGGCTCGACTCGACTCGGCTCGTTTGCAGCCCTAGATATGTATATCTCTTATTTGTTTTGATAACTTAAGCAAAGAAAAATGGAGAGAAATAAGAAGAAATTGAGAGAAACTCATTTATCTTATAACTCTCATTTTCAATCTTTCAAAAAGTGAAGAAATTAGGAGCGAAAAGAAACCAACATATTCTTATATTTTTGTAATACTAATTTTATCCCTATAAAAATAAAAGAAATAAAATAATTAAAAAAAATATAAAAAAATTATTTTAATAATATAACATAAAACATTTTCTTTTCTTTATAAAATCTAATAAAATAAAAAAAAAAGAAATCACAATCACCTATTTTCTTTTATATTTTACTTATCCAAACTTAAAAAAAAAAAAAAATTACAATCTAATCAATTCTTTTCTCTTAAGTAATCATTTATTTCCTGTCGGTTCCAAACATAGCGTAAACGATTAGTCTCTCTGATAGATCCATGGAAAGTCAGATTTGGGAGGGGAGAGAAGCCTGAGCCATATATAAAATGGAAGACTTGAGTCTTTATTAAAGTTGTATTCAACTTTTGATTATCGTCACCTTCGAGTCTTTATTCCAATTCATACATCGCAGAGTTTTTGTGCTTGCCATGTGTTACTCAGAGCTTTTCTTGATCCTATCTTTCAGTGCGCTCTATGCAAATCTTTAACGGTCGTTTCCTTCTGGGGAAGCTCAAATGGGAGCGAGTAAAGACTCCGTCGTTTCCTCCAGGTTGAAGAGGGAAGACTGTAAACGCACCAAACATGACTCTGTTTTCTCCGAATGGAAGGTCTCTCTCTCTCTCTCTCTCTCTCTCTCTCTCAATTTCGCAAAAACAATTACCATTATGAGGGACCCTTGTTCAGATGTCCCAAAAACAATGAAAGAAATTTGGGTTTCTGAGATTTTGGATGTTCTTTTTTGGTTATCTCTGAATTACGATACAAGTTAATAAAAATTTCATTTCATTTTTTTTGTTTTGTTTTGGAATTGAAGTCATCTTAGTCAGCATCCTATTTATGCAACTTTCAGTGGGTTGCAAGAGAGATCTGTCATTCATTCATGCTTCATGTGCCAGTGTTTGTGAAAATGGGTTGGTCTGTTTTCCTGTATTGGTGAGCAAACTAATCTTTTTGATTTATGCTCACCAAGTGAATGTAAAAATGTCGTAGAGAGGTTTTGAAGACTGGTTTTGTGGGTTTCAGGAAGGACTTTTCAAATGAGCTACAAACTGCTCAAAATAAATGAAATTTAGGAAATTGTAGCCAATGGAACTGTTTTACATCAAACAGGATAACAAAAATATATTTCTTGGTAACTGTGGACAGTGGCAGCTCCAAAAAGATTTGCCACTGGTAGACATTTTTTTGCCAATCAATAGAACTAAATTACAATATTATGAAAATTACACCAAATTGAACATTCAAGGAATGAAAGTCTAACACCGAATCACAAATATACAATAAATAAACCCAACAAATATAAGAAAGAGCTCAAACAAATACAAGGAATACGTAGGTGAACAAAATCGATCCTCTAACCTGCTAGCGAGATGCAAGGACTCTTGTTCACTGGACTACTTCGTAGACATTCAAGCATTTAAAAAATAAGTCAGATTTGAAAGTTAGTGATAGAGCAAAACAAATTTTTTTTTTTTAGGCTAGACATAAAAGGGTTGTTCAAAATTTTGTTGAAATGAGCTCAAACCAACAGCTCATGGTGTTCAAAAATTTTTTTTTTTCCCCAAAATGACAAAGTGGCACCAAGGTGTGGAAAAAGAATTTTGAGAGATGACAAGTGGTGTTTAGGGTATTGGAAAAAAAATCAAAAGTGTCAATGACATCTAAAACTTATACTATTACTGGTATTATTTTTTATTTTTTGAGGGTATTCTGCAGAGGTCTGTTACTTTATCCTGCTTCATGTGCCAATATTTGTGAAAATTGGTTGGTCCGTCTTCATACATGGTGAGCAAACTAGCACGTGGGAGGACTGTTAACGCTCACGAAGTATATGTACCAATGTCATAGAGAGGTTTTGAAGACTGGTTATATGGGTGTTTCAAAGACTTTTCAAATGAGCTACAAACTGCTCAAAATAGATGAAAATTAGGAAATTTTAGCTAATGGAACTTGATTGCATAAAAAAAGGATTACAAAAAGAATGTCTTTCTCCGTAACTTGGAAGTAGTTTGAATACTAAAATGCACATATGATTTCTGGTATATTGTATTTCAGCTATGTATTTCTTTGTTCAGGTTCTCATTGGGCCTTCTGATTGGGAAGACCACTCCCTGGGGAAGGAAGGAGCAGAGAGATACAGAATTCATAACCTCCCGAATTGTGCCTCATGTTCAGGGCTCTATGAGCTTGGAATAGTTGTACTACACACCCGTTCAGGGCGTGAGACTAGTAAGTTTGATCCAGACCATATAATTCCTGTTTATGTTGGACAAGCTGACAATGTTAGGACTAGACTACAGTGTTATGGGCGTGAAGGCGCTCATTTGGAGAATGGGAAATCAACTGGTGAGCTGAATGATTCTGTCCTACAAGGGCGTGGATTGTTTTCGGAGATTTTCTCAAGAGGCTACTCTGTTGTGTATAGATGGGCCCCTGTAAGTACATATTCCTTTTTTTTCATTTCTGAATTGCTTGATCTTCCTTGGGTACTGTGGTTATTTGCACTTTTAATAGGTGATGCATTCTGTATCAAATAATAGGTTGGGTACGATATACACTACAATAAGATCAATTGAAGTTTGGCAACATGATAACAAGATCTGTTATGAATCATGATCAAAGACCGGTGATGATGTAATATTCTTCTTAAGTTCATTATTTTCCTGTAAAATTCATGTGGCTATGCCAAATGAGATGTTATATAAACATTTCTCTGTTCTTTATGTTGAATTCATTGGGATTGCTCTATAGGGGACTTCTAACTGAGAGGCTTGTTGGGCAAGAGTGCATGTTTAGAAAATCAGAATTAGTTGCTTCTGAAGTGCTTTTGCTTTCCAACCCAATAAACAAATTAATAAATTAACTTTATGTAATTGCTGTTGTGCACTCGTAATTAGGGGTGGGCATCGTGTCGTATTGGTTGTATTCATGTCATGTCATTTCGGATTCGTGTCAAAATTACTTTACGTTGTTGTGTGTCATGTCATTTTTGGTCTGTGTCCGGATCATATTGTGTTGAAGTGTTATGTCAAAAAAATTCATTTTTAGTTAAAATTAAAACTACAAAGTGTATGGCAAAATTAATTTTTTTCCCCATAAGCTAAATTTCATGAAATTAATCTCTACTAGATAAAATTATTCATAAAAATGTTTGACTTCAACTCAATTCCATTTCTGCAATTTTTTATTTTAAAAAATTTGTATTATGTTTTATTTATTAGATCGACTCTACAATAGTAGACAAAAAATACAATATCTTAAATGGCAAAAAAAAATATTTCCTTAAAATCCTATTATATATATTTTATCCAAATAGATGGCATTACCTAAGAGATTCAAAAATATTATGGCATCCTTTAGTGGAACTAACACTAAAATGTGTAACTATTTCTCATTAAATGGGTTATGTGTATTAACTTCGTGTTATGTAGGTTCAACACCAACTTAATCTGTTTAATGTTCATGTTACTGGGTCTTTTCATAATCATTGGAAAAAGGTCAACCCTAACTTGGTAACATCGTGTACAGTTCTTGTCGTGTTGTGTTGTATCAAAAATTTCGACCCTTACTTGTAATAGTGCCAGCGGAACAAGTGGTACTCAGAAATTTAGTATATCACATGTAGTTCTTCCTGTCTTCGAAAGAGTTCTGAGTTAGCAAGCTGGCTGAAGGGATCATGGAGTAAAGGGCCTATTTCACATATATGTGGAAATGAAATATATACACATACAAACAGACAGACATGGACATATATGATAGTGTAGTCATATATGTAAGATAAATTGATAGAGAGAGAATAAATTGTATGTATTATGATTGATATATGAATATGTTTACAATGATTCCTATATATAGAAGAGTAGGGTAGGTAGGTGTGTAGTAGGTGGTAGTAGGTGGTAGTGGTAGGTGTGTAGTAGGTGGAGTAGGTGGTAGTAGGTGGTAATGGTAGGTTTTAACAGCCCCCGCAAACTCAAGGGGGATAGGAACTAACCAACTTGAATTTGGAGAGAGTAACAAAACAAGAAAATAGACTAATACATAAAATAAAAGAGGATAGTAGACACTATATGGTCGTGTCAGACCGTTGTAGCAGATAATGTCTGGACAGTTGACGAGGTCACACCAGACTGATGGAGAAGCTAATCTGAATCAATGTCGGGACAGTTTATGGGATCATGTCGGACCGTTGTAAAAGCTAACCGGAATCAATGTCGGGACAGTTTTATGTGGTCATGCCGGACCGTTGGAAAAGTCGCACCCTCAAAAGGTGTGCCCAATCTTTCAAAAGGCGTGCCATCAAAAGGCGTGCCCAATCCATAAAAAGGTGTGCCGGACATTATGGCGATGCGCGTGACTACCTTGGCTTGCGCGCCCATGTTGTCGTCTAGCGCCGAGCGGCGCACGATGCGCGTGTCTGCCTTGGCTATTTAACCAAGACGGAGGCTGAGGCTGAGGCTGAGGCTAAGACAAAAACCTGCTAAAAACCTCTGAAAAACTCTTCGTTTTCTGAGAGAGATACTCTGTAACACTCTGTTGCCCATAAAATGGCCTCTTCTTCCCGTGGTCTGCTCACTCTCTTTCCAGACCTCAACGAGGCCACAAGAGAAATAACTGGTGCGGTGGCCCTTGAACCTCAACCAAGCGCCTCTGGTTTTGTGCCGTTGAACTTTCCTATGCGGTCTGTGGAGCAAAAAATGGCAGTGCAATCGGATGTTGAGGCCAATCAGTATACATTGAAGTCATGTGTGGAGACCATGACTGCGGTCACAAACTTGTCACACCAGCTTCAGAGTAGGACAAATGAGGTGCAGCAGTTAAACGCCCAACTGGCTCTGCTCCAGCGCATGTATAAGGATGCGCGAGCAGAGATAAGTGTGCTGAAAGCAGAAAATAAGGAGCTGAAGCGGAAGGCCACCGTTATGTTCCGATTTGGAGGTCCGCCATATGCTGTAGTGGAGGAGCAGGGGGGAGTGAACGTGCTCGGCGGCGTGGGAAACACAGAGGCAGCACCGTCAAGGGCCGTCCAGGACGGAGGCAAGAAGAAGAGACCGGCAGCAGAGTAGAGAAGAAAAATCTCGCTTGTGGATGTGGTTGTTTGGGTTTTGGTTGTTTGTTCGTTTTGTTTTGTTTTGTTTTGTTTTTTTTTTTTTTTTTTGTGATCGGGGTTGATCCCCAGCATGAAGAAATGACAAGTTTGTGGAATGTTATTGGTGTTATTTTGTGTTGTTGTTTTGTTTAAAAAAGAAAATAAAAAAAAAAAATAAATAAAAACAAAAAAATATTTTTGGATGGGTTATTTGAGAAAGAGATATTATTGTAGAATGGGTATTTGAAAGAGATTAAAAGTAGTTTGGAGAAAATAAATAAAAATAATAAATTTAGAATCAAACGGAGGAGAGAGAGGGGACAAGCCCATATGATAAAGTAGAGAGAGAGGGTATTGGGTTTGGAAAGAAAGAGATAAAAAAGTGGAGCATCTCTGCTTCACATGTCTCCACTGCCGGGAGTGCGTCTTTGAAACTATATGCTGGTTTTGATCAAAACCGTGGGCCAAATTACCACCCACGTGAGTCCACTTCCCCATGTACCAACATCAATAAGCTCATCTTTACCTCCCAGCACAAGGCCATGTAAACTCCATGTCCTTTAGTGATTCTGTCTGCATTGCTATAGCCTCTCTCTCTCTAGAACAGAGATAGAGGGATGATGTTTATAGGTGTGCAATCCGGATTGACGGGCTCCGATTATGGGATGTGCCATGTTCACTGTTGATGTTGCTGCTGGAGTCCATGCTCTGAGCTCCGTGATGGTGACTCGTGGTACAAGGGGTTAGTGACGCCGTTGGGGAAGGAGCTTGAAGATGCTGTCAGAGCTAAGTTTCCTCATGCCAAACTTAGCCAGGGCTATGGAATGACAGAGGCAGATCAGGTGGAAACAGCTTCAGAATATCATCACCGGTGAAGTTCTCATTTACACATTTTCTGATAAGCGAACGAAGGCATGCCAGAACAGGATCGAGTTCGGCGGAGGAAGGAAGATTGAGGAGAGACTGAAGGGACCAACAATGAAACCAATGGCAATGGGTGCAATTGTGCCCAGTGAACCCTTCTTGGGGTCAGCTGCTGTGGCATACACTGTGTATACCAAAGCAAAGGTGATAATGATCTCCATGACCACACCTTGAACAGCTCCGACACCGGCCGCCACGCTGTGGGTCGGAATTGCCAAGCCTCCAGTGACAAATTTGAGTAGGTAACATGCCACAATGGAACCAACAAGTTGTGCAATCCAGTAAAGATGCCGGTGAGGACGGTGATTTGTCCACCAAGAGCCAATCCGAAGGTGACAGCTGGATTTACGTGGCCACCGGAAATGTTGGCCCCAACGGAGACTGCAACAAAGAGAGCAAATCCAAACGGAGGAGAGAGAGTGCTTTGGGTGAGTCAAGGACAGCGACTCGAAGGAGTTGGGCGTGAAGGTGGTGGACTCGAAGAAATTTCAAGGTATGTGTAGAAAATTCTAGCGGACTAGGTTGAGGTCCGGCGGGCGGCCAAGGCGAGGTTGCCGCCCGCCGGTGAAGCGAAAAATACTAAATGCTTAACCTTGCTCTGATACCATGTAAGATAAATTGATAGAGAGAGAATAAATTGTATGTATTATGATTGATATATGAATATGTTTACAATGATTCCTATATATAAAAGAGTAAAGTAGGTAGGTGTGTAGTAGGTGGTAGTGGTAGGTGTGTAGTAGGTGGAGTAGGTGGTAGTAGGTGGTAATGGTTGGTTTTAACAATATATTACCAGCACATCTTACTGGGCTATGCTTAACTGTCTTGCAATTAAGAGCCCCAAATCCAATTATGTATCTAAGAAGTTTTGCATTGATTTTGGTAGATCAGAAGTCCCTAATTATCTTTCCCCTTTCCAAACCTTCTACAGATGAAAAATAAGAGGGATGCTGAAAAAACAGAAGCTCAGGTCCTTGATACTTTTGATTATGCATGGAACAAAGGCGGCAATGGTGTTCGCCGCCCTAACGATATCCTCAAAAAACTTGACAGAAGTACCTCGCGCAATACCAAGTTTCACGTTATTGTCAAGAAGCTTCAGACTTTTCGTCAGAAGAAAATGGGTATCAAAATTGAAGCCTGCAAGCCACTTCCGTGGGAAAATGTTTCCAACACATATTCCTATCAGGAGAACAATGATCTCTTTTCTCGGATTTTCAAAATCGGCAGATCACAGCCTAGACTGGTTCAATTGAGACATGGTTTCAACGAAGACTATGCTAGCATTTGTGGGGTGGCCTTGGGTCACGGATCTGTTTGCAGAAGGCTACCAGTTGAAGGAAGGAAAAGGTGTGCTGAGCACAAAGGGTTGAAAATCAATGGAAATCACCTCAAAGTTGAGTATCGAGCTTCGAGTTTCAGCCATGACACAATGAAGCCTCAACTGGTTGTAGATGATTGTCCTGTTGGCAAGGACTCCTTTCCTATTTGTGGAGTCGCCTTGGATGATGGCATTCTGTGTAGAAGACAACCAGTGCGAGGGAGAAAAAGATGCGAAGAGCATAAAGGAAGAAAGATTACAAAATCGTTTTCTGAGTCTAGAACAAAAAATAAACAAGGTCATTTATGTGATCCGATTTTGGAATCCAGTACCTATGGTTATGATTCCGAGAAAATTCTATCTAAAACCAGAAAGATGGGCACTACTTGTGGGGTTGGTTTAAAAGATGGGACCTTTTGCATAAGGCAACCTGCGTTGGGAAAAAAGAGGTGTGAAGAACACAAACGGATGAAGATTATTGGGTCCAAGTCTAAATTATTAGTTGCAGATGTTCCCAATGTGTTTGATTGTTCGGGTATCAATTCTTGTAGTGGTCAGAAAGTATGATGATAACACCTTTATGTATGACACCGAGGAATTTCATCAGACATATGTGGTGCTGCATTATGGAATGGATTCATCTGTTAAGTAATTCCGGGGTGTGAGCAGCACAATGGGATGACAGGGGAATGAGCTTACCCGCCTATAAATGAAGATTGCGGCTTTTATTTTTATTTATTTTTCAATAGAAGATTGAGTGGTTGTGTCTCAGTTATTTTTAGATTGTTGTTGCATGTGAGGGTTTCTTCATATGCACATTGAATAATAAGTTAAAAGGCATTGTTTTACATTTATAGATTTGAATAAATTGGTCTTTTATGTTTGTAAATTTTAACCGTGTATTGTGAGATGTTATATAATCCTCTCGCTCTGTGAAAAAACTACACTATTATATGCTGAGTTTGTACTTCTGAACAATAATTTCCCTCTCCCTCAACCAAGAGTAATGTACACATGAAGTTGCTTCTGTTTTATCTTTCAATACACCCAATCGGGATGGACTCAAAAGCTTTAAAGGGGGTAAAATTATTTAGCCCTATTTTGGGAGGAAAAAAATTATTATAAAACAAATTAATTTTACTTTCTATATTTTTGTATATATATATATATATTTTTAAAAAATTAAAAAGTAATTAAAAAAATCAATTTTCAAAACATGCCTTACATTTTGGCGGAATTAAACTAAACTACACACTATATACATATTTTTTTAGGGGACCAAACTGTTAATTTTTAGGATAAATTTCACTTTGCTCATGTGATTTAAGTCATGGGCAGTTACTCCTAACCAAGGTTTTAAAAAGCGGCCGCAACCGTTACGTAACGCCGTTACGTAACGGTTTTGGCGTTTACCGCCACCCGTTACGGTCGCTTTTGTAGTGTGATTGAGATTCACAGGTGTGTCGGCCGTAGCGGCTGCCATAGCGGTCGTAACGGTGTCGTAACGGCCTGTTACGCACCGTTACGTAACGGTTTCAAACTGTTTCTTTCGAAAAAACACACAAAAAAGCTGAAAATAGGGGAAGAGAGATAGAGAGGAGAGGGAAGATAAAGAGAGAAAATAGAGGAGCAAGAGATAGAGAGAGAGAAAAGAGGGAAGATGAAGAACATGTTATTGATTTATTGAAACTGTAAGACTTATGCTATTCTATTCAGCTGCTATCACTAAACCATTTTGTTTGTGTGTGTCTATCTATATATTGTTTGATAATAATAATAATAATAATAATAATAATAATAATAATAATAATAATAATAATAATAATAAGTGTGGTCATTATCTATTTAGTTTGGTTAAAATATGTATATATATATATATTTAGGCCCTTATTTATTCTCTTACTTTTGTCATTGTTTATCTTATATATAATAGTTAGTAATTGATTTTTTGTACAATATAAAATTATTAATTATTAAAATAAAATGTAAAAAGCTCAGTTTATAATGATTTAAAAATATGAAATATATTGGATCAAACTTAAAAATTTACAAAAATTGATCAATATTTATTTTTAACCCAATAAATATGATCATGGAAAAAAAATATGCGTATCGGTAAATTTTTTTCAAATTGTGCGAAGAATAAAAAAATTCACGATTCCGGTTACCGCAACCGTTACACTACGGTCTTTACACCCCGCAACCGCAACTGCGTCACCGCCACCGTTACGACGACCGCAACCGCTTTTCAGAACCTTGCTCCTAACATTTAAAAATGATAGCACAAACCCCACGTGTGATTTGTAAATTAAGAAAATTGTTAAGGATCATGAAATTTTTTTTATGAAAATGATCATAAAAGATTTATAACTTTTAAATTACCTTGATTAGTATGTGGTGTTTTATTCTAAATGTAATCTAAAAATTACAAATCTTTCATGATCATTTTTATAAAAATTTTTTCATGATACCTAACATTGCTGGTAAATTAAAATGCCCGACAACTTCTGTTAATAGAATTTGTGCATGGACCTTTTTACCCTCTTTTTCTTCCTTTTACCATCATCTTCATCACCAATTTCCAAACCTCTACCCAGCCTTCCATCTTCGCTCACCTTGACCACCACCCATTTTTCCTCCCTTCCATACCATCACCATCGCTCATCTTCCATCCCCAACCGTTGCTGCCGTCTCCTCTCCCCTATCCCCGACCATCGCGACAGCCTCTTTTCCCACCCCTACCGTCACCATCGTCTCCTCTTCCATCCCCAACAAGCACCGTCGCCGCATCTCCCATTCTCGAGCATCGCCACTGGCCCCTCTCAACACATCTCTTCCCCTGAAACGGTATCCAAAGTCATTTTGAGAAATCAAGGCTATGCAAATCAGAACCAAACCCCAAATCATCTCCAGCAACATGCTCTGTATGTATCTATTAAATATCTATACTATTATATATGTGAGCACATGACTTGGTGTCTAATAGTGTGGTAGCTTCTCCTTCTGCCACGTGGCAAATTTTTCTATCCTAAAATAAAAAAATGTTATTCAAAGGCATGAGTAAGATTTGAACCCAAGACCTTGGGTTTCATTAAGAACACTCTTACCATTTAGACAATATACATATTATGACATTAATTTCTTTATTATTTATTTTTATGCTTATTTATCTGAATTGCACATGCATCGCATGTGCCACACCACTAGTATATATATATATATATCATCCCCAGCAACACGCTCTGTATCTATTAAATATATTATATATGCATATATTGATAATGTTATTGGGGGTGATTATTCAATATTTTTAAAGTATAAATACCTGATACTTTATAAATGAAAAATGCCTAACACCCCAGTGGGGGTCACTGGGGTCTTCTCCCATTGGTCAAAAACTGCTTTCCTTTTTTTTTTTTTTTTTTTTTTTTTTTTCCTTCAAATTAGCGAATGAGGGGGTGACACCTCACTGGGATTGTCAGTGGGGGTCACCCCAGTGGGGGTCTGTAGCATGGCCCCTTTATAAATTAGTAGACAAGGGTATGGATTCATGATTTATGTTAGGATGGAGAACAATATAGGGTTAAATAATTGGTGATTGACATGAAATTTGACTACATGGTGTTTCGGAATTATTGAATAATTTTCCTGTTATCCCGAGGGCAATCCAACGCGGTGAATTGAGTTAATAAAAATAATTTTATAAGGTTAGATATAATAATTAAAATATTTAAATTTTAATAATTAAAAAATAAACAATAATAATAATTATAAAAGTAAAAGAGATAGGGAGAAAAAATCAAATCCAGTGATTTATAATGGTTCGGCACGTCGGGTCTACGCCCACTCTTCAAAGATCATCATTGAGAATTTTTTTACTATCAAAACGAATCAATACATTACCAAAACTTCACCAAACTTGTAGATTTTACACATATTTTACTCTGAACCTTACTCAATAATAAATGTCTCACTCTTACAAAATTCTCTTACAAAAAAAACAATAAACATAAGAGGTATTTCAACTCTCTTTTATAATAATTCTCTCTTAAAGAGTAGATATGAATGTGTAAGAACAATTACAACACTTAGAAAATATCAAATCTAAAAGTGAAAAAGCAGATAAAAAATAGAGCTTGATTATACAAAATTTTTTCCTCCAAATTTTTGATTTTGCTCCAATCAAAACACGTCTATATATACCTAAAAATATTTCCATTGAGAGAGGAGACGCTCCTCTGACAAATCACATGGAGGAGATCAGACGCTCCTTCATGTGGCGCTGCTTACAATTTCCTTTTCAAAATTTGCGGCCTGTGGCTTTTCTTTCTGCAGGTGAACATTTGAATTAATAGGCCATAGGTCGCTTTCGACGGATGGTATTACAAATTTTTTAAAACTTTTACCGTAAAATCAAAGGGTGCATAGTGATTTGCAACTTTTTTTATTAAAATATTTGAACAGTGTGATTTCTCCATTAAAATATTTATGTGTATAATAAAATCTCTTTACATAGTATTTATATCAAATTTGAAAATATATATCCTTTTTCTAATCTTTGTAGCCGTTGAAGAGATTTTGAATACACTCTAATAAAAATAACCCACCACCACATGGGTGCATCATGCTCCCAAGCATTTTTCTTGAATTAATAGGCCATAGGTCGCTTTCGACGGATGGTATTACAAATTTTTTAAAACTTTTACCGTAAAATCAAAAGGTGCATAGTGACTTGCAACTTTTTTTATTAAAATATTTGAACAGTGTGATTTCTCCGTTAAAATATTTATGTGTATAATAAAATCTCTTTACATAGTATTTATATCAAATTTGAAAATATATATCCTTTTTCTAATCTTTGTAGCCGTTGAAGAGATTTTGAATACACTCTAATAAAAATAACCCACCACCACATGGGTGCATCATATTTGTCAAATAATAAATAGTAACTAATCGATTTTATCAAAATGTGAATAGTAAAATTTACTATTTAAGCATAGTAACTTCCTCAAAATTCAAACATGCATAGTAACTTGCACAATAAAAAATATATGATGCAATTGAAATCTATTTTGATATTTTGTGTCAAATGATTGCAAAATATGTACATTAAAAAATTACAATTTACCAAATAATATTTTAGATTTCATCAAAATTAAACCACATGATTAACAATCTCTCTCTTTTTTATGATGGCAATATTTACATGACTTTGACACAAAATTTCACAAGAATAAATGCAACATAAAAAATATTCAACAATCATTTATTAGTATTATATTTTCTGCCCCTTTATTAACAAATTCTTTGTTAAATGATTTATATATAAATCATATTTCTTTTTTTCTTTTGACATCATCAAAATAAAAGGTTAATATGGGTATGAAGAATCAATTTTGAAATAAATGCAACAAGAAATATTTAACAATAATAATGCAAGCATTTATCAAAAAAGATCTGTGGGAGTGACAAGTACCTCTTATCTTTATTGATTATTTTTTAAGAGAATTTTGTAAGGGTGAGATATTTATTGTTGAGTGAGGCTCATCAGATAAAAGTAAGACTTGTATAAAATTCACAAGCTTAGTGAAGCTTTGGTAGTGTATTGATTCATTTTAATGGTGAATAAATTCTCGAGGAGGATCTTTGAAGAGTAGACGTAGGCCCAACGTGTTGAACCACTATAAATCACTCTGTGTGTGTGTGTGTGTCTCTCTCTTTTACTTTTATATTAATTATTATTTCTTTATTTTTTATTTATTAAAATTTGAATATTTTGATTATTATATTTAATCTTGTGAAATTATTTTTATTAACCCAATTCACCCATCCCTTGGATTGCCCCTGGGATAACAAGT